CTCTGTGATGGACTGAAACCTGTCCAGGTGTCTCTGTGATGGACTGAGACCTGTCCAGGTGTCTCTGTGATGGACTGAGACCTGTCCAGGTGTCCCCCACTGCTCACACATGGCGGGACATGGGCACCAGTGACCCAAAAAAGAAGAAGCTGGTAAAGATGGTTCTCGTGCAGACGAGCAAAAACACGATCGCCTTTTTCCTTCCACTCCGTCAGAATTGTTTTAATTTATCCTGATTGTTTTTATTTTTTTATGAAAAAGATAAACTTCAGGTGTCTTTTGATGTGTTAAAATCATGTTGGAAGTGTATCAAACCACCGTTAAACAGGAGAAAAACAAATATTTCTCAAAAATAATCAACTCAAACAGTCACAACCTCCGCGTTCTTTTCAACACCATTAACACCATTAACACCATTAACACCATTAACTCCATTAACCTCATTAACACCATTAACACCATTAACACGATTCTAAACGTGCCCCAGTCTGCCACCATTGAGGCCTCTGTCCACACCTGTAATAAGTTTGTCAGGCATTTTGTTGAAAGGTTGAGTCGATCAGGTCAATTCCACACTCCACAGCCGACCCTTCAGTTCTTGTCCCCTGCTCAGCAGTCTTCAGTCACTTTGAACCATCTCACTCTCATTTTTAAATGAGGTCGTTGGTCACATGAAGCTCTCAGGCTCCCCTGCTGATCCCATCCCTGCTGATCCCATCCCTGCTGCATTTTTTAAACAGGTTCTACCGTCAACTGGACCCTCTGTTCTTGCCATTATTAACAGCAGTTTGGCTACAGGTGTGGTCCCCGATGTTTTAAAACATGCAGTTGTAACTCCATTCATTAAAAAACCCGGACTCGACCCTGCAGCTTGTTCAAACTTCAGGCCAATCTCAAAACTTCCATTTCTTTCTAAAATCTTGGAGAAAATAGTTTTTAGTCAAATAACCAAGTTTTTGAATGTAAATGGAATTTTTTAGATTTTTCCGTCAGGATTTAAACACCTGCACAGCACCGAGACAGCTTTAGTAAGGGTCTGTAATGACATTCTACTAGCAAATGACTCTGGTCAGTCTGTGATCCTGGTACTCCTCGACCTTACCGCTGCATTTGACACTGTTGATCACAGCATCCTTATGTCACGGCTAGAACACTGGGTTGGGATTACAGGGGTGGTGCTAGAATGGTTCCTTTCGTATCTAGGTGACAGGAGTTTTTGTGTTAACTTTGACAATCATTTTTCTGCTTCTGTCCCTCTTTCCTGTGGGGTCCCACAAGGCTCCATTCTTGGACCCCTTCTGTTCTCATTGTATCTGCTCCCCTTGGGGTCTATCCTAAGGAAACATGGTATTTCGTTTCACTGTTACGCCGATGACTCTCAGATCTATCTACATTTAAAACCAAACAGTTCCTGCTCCATCTTCCCTTTGCTAAAATGTCTTGATGACATCAAGACTTGGATGGCTGCAAACTTCTTGAGTTTTAATGATCAGAAGACTGAGGTCATTGTGTTTAACCCAAGCTCTACCACTGATCCTGTAAACCTGCACTCTCTTCAGCCTCATCTAAAGCAGTCAGTTACCAGTCTCGGGGTAGTGTTAGACTCGGACTTTAAGTTTAATAAACAGATCAACTATGTTCTACAAAAGAGCTTCTTTCAGCTAAGGCAGATAGCAAAGCTGAAGTCCGTTCTGTCCAGATCCGACCTTGAAAAACTAGTCCATGCATTTATTACAACCCTGCTGGACTACTGTAACTCGCTTTATGTTGGGGTCAGTCAGGCTTCACTTTCACGTCTCCAGCTCGTACAAAATGCTGCAGCTCGGCTACTAACAGGAACTCACAGGTTTGAGCACATTACTCCGGTTCTGTCCTCTCTTCACTGGCTTCCTGTACGTGTCAGAGTTGATTTTAAAATTCTCCTGCTGATGTTCAAGTGCATTAACGGCCTTGCACCATCATACCTCTCCGACCTTCTTCATCCCTATGCTCCTTCTCGGGCTTTGAGATCATCAGACCAGCTGCTTTTGGCCGTACCTAAAACCAGCTGAAGCTCAGAGGAGATCGAGCGTTTTCAGTCGTGGGCGCTAAACTCTGGAACAATCTGCCCATCAACATTCGACAGGCCACCTCAGTCTCTGCCTTTAAATCTCTCCTAAAACACATCTGTACTCACTGACACATCTGTACTCACTGACACATCT